CTGCTTTAAGCTGCAGAATAAAATAATTACACAGATATTGTTAATCTAAAGTATATACAATGTGGCTACTTGGGGACCAAGAGAAACGAGGTTTGACGTCCTACTGCTGCTGATGTCTGTGGTTTGTATATTTAATTAACGGTGGAAATACTTAGAGCACACATTTTCCTCACTTTTTCTTACAGATTTCCCGCCATCATGAGCTATAGTGGGAAATATTTTGACTTCATAAGGATACATTTGGTCTTACAGCTGTGGAAGCCTGAAACTGCCATAATTAAACACGAATAAATAAAAAACTAAATAAAGAAGTAAAGAATACCCATTAAATAAATCTGCTTCTATTAAAAGCCTCAAAAATATAAAAATGACAAAATCTACGTTTTAAATAAATTAATACAAGTGAAAATCAAATGTTAATGTCACTAAGAGGTGAATTAATGCTAACACGTGGTTGCTGGTCTGCAGAATGACCAACAATCATGCACACTCACACCTACTCTTAATTTAGAATCACCAGTTGACATGAGATGCATGTCTGTGGACTGTGGGAGGAAGCCCATGCAGCCCATACAGAGCGTCCAACCCCGACACAGCTGGCTGGCAGGTTTGAACCACTGTACGCTCGTGCTGTGAGGCTGTAGTGCTAACCACTGCACTACTGTAACTGCTTTAATATAAACATTCATATCAAATTTTTGGCGCATTTAATGGCATGTTTGTTTGTTTTTGACCATGCCAGTACAATTTATCACGATTTTGACCTTTATTAAATAGTAGATGTAGTAATTGTTATTTAGAAAGAAATACTTTTTGACTTGATTTCTTAAAGATTGACTTGAACATTTTTACAAAAATTTTGACTTACTGTATTTTCTTTCACATTTCTAAATTTTTGTGTATTTTTGTGGTTGGCACAAATAGATTTACATGGTGAAATTTAACATATTATCATTAAAATATCTTTGGACATTTGGAGAGGGTGTACCCCCCGTCCCACAAACAGACACACAGAGGCACCACCCTTTATATTTTTTTATTATTAACTCAAAAAACATTATTCCTCTCGCGTTGCATTACTCCTCCCACCACAGGTGGGGCTGTAACTAAACAAGTCAGTCCTTCCGGGCTCTGAGGCCTGGCTTTACGACTCTCCTCAGCTCGTACTGAAACACCAGGGGGAGGAACTTTGACCAGCGCTAGTTAGCTACCAGCTAGCTGCTCTCTCTATTATTTTCTTATTTTGTGTGCTGTTGCATATGCAGAGCAATGTGGTTTATTTATTTACTGAGCTGGCTGTCGCTGCTCATCCAGATATCCTTCGTCACGTTAGCAATAGGTAAGTGCTTGCTGAAATCCCCCTGCAGCTGTTAGCCTAGGTAGCTCATATTTGCCTGCCAATGCTAGCGGATCAAGTCAGCAGATTAAGGTGCGCTAGCGAGTGATAACTGAGCTCCGCTTTGCCAACAGCTATCGACTCAAAACGCAGTAATAAAATATGCATGTAAGCCGTGTTAGTGAACGAAGCAGAGTCCTGAAAGCTACCTACTGGCGTCTGGGCTAGTTAGCTTTAAAGGACAGGAAGTTAAGAGGAAGAGAATTGATTGAAAAAAAAGATATTAGATATTTTGTAATGACTACCTTTAAATGTTAACAGACAATCTTTATTAGGTAAATGTTCAAATTTTCTTTTTTTTGGGGGGGGGGTGGCAGTAGAATCACTTTCTCTTTGTCTTTAACTCCTAATCGATACTAACTGATCAGCCGATTCAGCAGCACAGAGTTCGGCCTCTTTCTGTAATCTGGTGTGAAGACCGACTCCAGCTGCAGGATTCATGCTAATCTAACGTGAAGGCTTTAAATTACGCTCATGTATTTCTGTTTACATCAGAGAGGAGGATGTTAGCGCAGGAGAGGAGCAGCCTACATGTACGAAACTTTTAATGAAGGCTTGGCCCAAAGCCAGAGGTCCGTCCACGTAGACTTACCTGGCCACGTAACACCTACTGCATGACACGCTCAGTCATGTGACCTGACCTGTCAGCAGATGAGAAAATAAAACAGCAAATATTAATGACGTATATTGTTTTCATTTTCAATGAGACAACTCGTGACATGAGTTGTCTCATTGTGTCCTCATTTTTTTATAGATCAAGGCCAGCGTACGCCAAGCTTAGCTGTTCATTAAGTGTTCATTCGTTTTAGAATTATTTGTTTTAATATTTTTGGACATGCAACAGTGTTTGTTATTACTGTTTAAGGACTATAGTTTGAGTAAGTTTAATTGTGTGTGCAAGCTGCAAACACATGGCCTTCAACACACAAAGCCATTACTCATAACTCAGATGCTTATTCTGATTAATAACGCATAACTTCTTTTAAAAAAATCATACTTTAGCCAATAGTGGTTATAGAAAGCTGTTATATTTAGTGAAAGAAGTACAGACATGTTTTATGTCTTGGCTTCTCCCTCACAGGTAGTATCCAGTTCACACATATTGACGAGTCTGATCAATTTACTGTCTGTTTGGCCTTCCTTCCACATGAGCTCAGTAACTGTGGGTCGTGTCAGCGTTGCTCAAATGAACCTACATTATTTGGTCCGTCTTTGTTGCTCTGCCACGGCTGTTCACAGGAGCTAGGTATTGAATGTCGATAAAGCCTTTGCAACAAATGTGTGTGTGTGTGTGTGTGTGTGTGTGTGTGTGTGTGTGTGTGTAGCTTGCTCTGGAGGTTGCAGAGAAGGAGGCCATTCTGAGGAAACTGAACAAACAAAGCAAGACTGTAAATAAACTCAAACGAGGTAAGTCCTGATTAGATGAGACTGAAGACTGAAGATTACTTTCATTATTGATTCACTTAAAAAATCCTTTCATGAGTCAACAGACTTGAGATTATTCATTTTTGTGATTCATTAATTTTTCAGTGTAACAACAGTCCAGCTTTTGAGTGCAATTAAAGGAGCATGTCACTGAAATTACACACACACACACACACACACACACACACACACACACACACACACACACACACACACACACACCACTTCTAGTTATGCAATTTTTTCTCCATCTTATAGACATATCTGAGCCATATTTGGTACATTGTGTATTTTTAATTCATAAATGACATTCACCCTAAACCATTATGCAATCAGGAGTCTGCTTGCTTCTAAATCAAAAGCATCATAAATTCGTCATTAATATTTATTTTGTGTGTCTCCCCCTCCCCCTTGTGTGCACACCCAGTGTCCCAGCTTGTCACCGATGAGTTCACAGAAATGTCTCAGAAGCTGGAGCTGGAGCAGGGCCTCCGGCAACACGCTGAAGTCTTAGCCACCCAGGTGCGAGCGCGTGCGTGTATTTGTGTGTGTGTGTGTGTTTGTGTGTGTGTGTGTTTTCAGCACTGGACAAAACATTTTGTCATATATTCACACCTATATATACTGAGGGTGACAGGTCGTGCCACAGGAACGGGACAAGGAGTGTTAGCGCTGACCTTCGGGCGGGTGTGGGGAACGGACGGACACTCCAGTGAAAGGGGAGGGAGGGGGATGCACACACACACACACACACACACACACACACGTTTCTGCTGTCGCACCGCAGCTGATGTGGTGGGACAGCACAAGAGGTCTCCATTCATCGTTTCTCACACCGACGACACTTTGGTCAAATGTGCGTCGCCTCTATGAAGAGACAAGACAAAAGCGCACACGCACTTGTACACATTGACGAAAAACATCAATTCACTTAAAAAACACACACACATACCCAAGCAGAATACACACAAACACACACACACAGCACAGTTGTTGCAGTCCCAGCTGCTCCCATAATGAAGGGCTTTTCTTTCCAAAAAAAAAAGCTGTCTCTCTTCCCATTTAGCCCCTCCCTGCACCATAATTAGTGGTCATCACTGCCGCCGAAGGAGAATAGTGGTCTTTAAGCACAACCTGTCTTCGCCTGACACCTTTATGTTTTGCCGAGCATATAGCAATTGTCGCTTTTGTGCGCAGCCTCCTCCATTTACTGGACAGGCGCACAATGGGCTTCCTCACAGGGGTCCTTACCTGTGAAAAGGACCCCCGACTCTCCACACAATTCAGCCCCTTTACTCTCAATTCATGGTAAAAGACCCCCCTGCGCTGAATGCCTCTTGTGTGCACCACTATTTGTCTGTTTTCATGTGTTTTGAAAAAACAACAATTCACAACTCTCCTGTGTGATGCACGGTGGTATAATGATGAGGGGGCCTCAAACAGGAAAGATTTGGAGCTTTTTTTTTTTTTTCTGTGTGTGCTTCTTTGTTCCTTTGTGTTGCAGTGTGTGTGCTCGGGGTGTGTGTGTGTGTGTTTGTATGTATGAAATAATTGTGCTAATTGCTGTGTGAAAATTGGTCTCTGCTAAAGGGAGCCCACAGATTGAAGCGGTGTAATTTGCAGCACGGAGCCTCGTGCTGCATGCTCTGACACCAAGCTGCTGCTTCAGTTTGTCCCGATAGTAAAAACACAGAAATGAAAACCTCATTTTCTTACACTTCCTGTTCTCTGATCACGGACCTGCTCTCAAAAAAAAAAATCTAGAAAATCTATCAGAGAGACGCCCATTATAAGCAGAGTGCACTGAGGTCACGTCCCTTGTATTGTTTTGAGGGGAATTAAAGGGTATTAGGGGCAGTTACACACAAAATAACACGTAGCAGGTTTTCTTAGCGGATTTTATTTTGGATCTGGCTATTTGTGTCATTTAAATTAACCATCACCACCACACCAGACCATCTCTAAGGTTATAATTATCTCTGTCAGGATACTTCTTTAGGTGTGGTCAGCTTTTTTTTTTTTTTTGTGTCACTTACAGTGTTTTGGTTGGGGAACACATTACAAGACTATGTGTACAAAGTACTGTGCCACCTACAGATGATATCAACAGCAGCTGCTCAGCTGTGGACCCCCATGTCAGGAAATGACATGGGGGTCATGTAATGTAATGTAATGTAATGACATCTCGGTTTTGATGTCATTGTTGTTCTTTTCCCGTTGATCATGTTTTGTTTCCTGCCTTTCTTTGTCCTACATGCTTCCACTTCCTGTTTTACTTTGGCAACTGCTTTTCCTTGCGCGTCTCCCGTGCCTTGATTTCCTGTCTCTGTCTTCTCTCTGAATGACTGATCCTTCCTGTGTCTAATTCAGCAGTCTGTGTGCATTAGAGGCGAGCTCCTCGATCCAAATATCGATAGCACCGATACCAATGTTGGTATTGGTATTCGATCGATACCAGCACGACACAATTGTGCTAATTGTTGTGGAAAATTTAGTGGTCATAAATATGCGTTCAGAATTAGCATCCAGCTCAAAAATCACGACAAACTGCTCTGTCCTACATAAGCTGTCTTTACGGTACTGTTATCGGTATTGGTATCAGCAATCCTGGCATTGTATTTACTTGGTATCAGATCAATAGTAACATTTGCAGTATTGCGAAGCACGATCATTCTGCACTTCTTTTGGCTACACATGTGCATTACTTCTCTTAACCACTTATCCAAGTTAGTGATAGAGGAGCTTGAGGATCACAGGGGCCCAGCTCACCCTGATCAGGCTGCTGGTTTGTCACATGGTCAACACAGAGAGACACACCTGCAGCCAATTTGCAATCACCAGTTAACCTAATGCTCATATTGCTGGAGACGAGAGGAAACCAGAAAAACAACTGGCACATGGAAAATGTTTGAATACACGAAAGCTCCAGCCATTCAGAAGGTTCAACCCAAGAAGCCTCTTGCTGTGAGACAACAGTGCTAACTGCGCCTCCCTTATTGGTTCGAAAACTAATCAAATCTGCTCAAACCCAGCATTTTGCCTATATAACTGTGTGCACAACTAGCACAACATTAACACATGTCACAAACGCCTGTGCAAAAGAGCAAAAGGTTTGTTTAGAGCACTCTGCTGATTGAGGAGATCTACACAGCAATGATTAAGCACAGCTGGTGTATTCATTTTCCACAGCAGAGAAGAAAGAAGCACATTTTCCAAACGATTCAAGGCAAAGTCTGACATTTTTTTTTTTGTCACAATGCGAGAACAATGATGCTTTGTCTCACAGAAAAATAATCCTGTTTGCATTGCCGCTGCTCTTCAGTGAAGCCGATGAGTAATACGTAACAAAGCTTCCAAGTCATTGTTCAGTCAAATGCTAGTTTGACAACCACCTGCTGGGAGACAATCAGCAACCAGTCCTTTAGATCTCACTTCATCTTTCCTCTAATTATGGTTCATTGTCAGTGATGTATTTCTTTTCCATTTTCTTAAAAAGAAAGAATCCAAATATGTGTTGAAATTGTCAAAGCTCCATTTGTTTCTCTCTCCCCCATCAGATGATCCTGGAGCAGAAGGCGGCCCAGGCCTCAGAGACAGACCTGAAAATGCAGGTGCAGCTGGAGCAGGCACTGCAACAGATATCCCAACTTAGCACAGCCCTGTGTGACATACAACTCTACTACCAGGACCGGGTGGGTAAACGTGATCACTGAGAGTGTCACGATAACAGAACATAGTGGAAATAACTGATATCTTCATCATGCCTCTGCTCTCCTGTGATCAGTTAAAACAGAGCCAGAGTGCTGTGGAGGAGAGCAGTGCCCTCTCTGAGCTGCAGAACCTGAGAGAGCAGCTGGAGAAGAGCGAGGAGGAGAGGAAGACTTTAGAAACTCAGCTATCTGACGCTAACAGCTTGGTCACCCAGCTCCAGGAAGAAGGTACTCCCTTGTGCCTGAAGATATGACCTTATCACAACAAAATAACTGTACATGACATGGAATATATTTTAGAAAAGTCTTCTGATGTCTTAGAAATATTCAGGTTCTCTTGAAGCAGTGATTGGAGGTCATCACCTTCAAACGGATGTGCAACCAGTGATTCGCTTCCAGCGTGCCCCTGTGCCTCATCAGTTTGAGCACCGGTGCATTAAAGAGACTTTTAATCAGCTCATCCATATCAGCTTTTGTTATTTCTCATTCTCTATTCTCTTTCTTTTTAGTGAAAGAGTTACAACAGACACTCAACAGCGATGATAAAAGTGATGAACCAGGAGAGAAAGCCATTCCTGACTTCGTTTCACTGTCTCCTCTCCCTCCTCCGCCTCCTCCACCTCCTCCGCCTCCCACTACTGTTACCAAGTATGAAAAACATAAGCCATAGCTTCGTCTACTACTAAGAATACAAGTCTAAGTTTCACAGGATGGTTTAGATATTGAATGCACATCAGCTGAGTTAAGTTGGTTGTGATTATGCTGGTGAGGATGATGTTTTAATATTAAATGTCCATATGTAAAACTCAATGGTCGACTGATTTCAGAGACATAATCCCTTTCTCTGCCTCCCGCTAGCTTTAAGGATTTCCTGAAGAGCAGGAAGAAACATGGTGCCAAGGCTGCTGATGATTTAAACAGTACGTCTAACCACACGCAACATAACCTTCAGCATAAAGCACTGAGATTTAACAGGGACTCTGCTTTAATCTTAGATTATTGATGAGATCCCTCATCTTGATATATGTCCTGTGTTCCTGGAAAGCATCTTAATTTTTTCAGGCAGTAATTCTACAGCATCTCTTCTTTGCATAAAACATTTGATGGAACAAACATACAAAACACGCAAATGTACACAGACCCCTGACAGTGCAGTAAATAACACTGATTATGTCTTCATCATGACACCTGTTAGTAGGTGGGAAATATTTGGGTGCAAGTGAACATTTTACCATGAAAGTTGATGCTAGAAGCAGAAAAAATGGGCAAGCGTATGGATTTGAGTGATTTTGACTCACTGTGATGGCTAGATGACTGGGTCATAACATCTCTAAAATTGCAGCTCTCGTGGGGTGTTCAGAGACTCCCGTGGTCAGTGTCTATCAAAAGCTGTCCAAGGAACAGCGGTGATGCGGTGACGGGCTCATGGATGGCCAAGGCTCATTGATTCACATTGAGCGAAGGCTGACCTGTGTGGTCTAAACAGACGAGCTACTGTAGCTCAAATTGCTGAAAATGTTCTGATAGAAAGAGAGCATCACAATTTGTTGAGTATGGTCCGCAAAGCCACAGACCAGTCAGGGTGTCCATGCTGACCCATGTCCACCTCTGAAAGTACCAACAATGGGCATGTGAGCATCAGAACTGGAGCATGGAGCAATGAAAGAAAGTGGCCTGATTTGAGAAATCACATTTTCTTTCACATCACATGGATGGCCAGTTGTGTGCATCAGTTACCTGGGGAACACCAGGCACCAGGATGCACTATGGGAAGAAAGCAAGTTGGCGGAAGCAGTGTGATGCACTGGGCAATGTTCTGCTGGAAGACCTCAGGTCCTGTCATCTATGTGAATGTTACTTTGAAATGTACCACCTACCTAAGCATTGTTGCAGACCATGTTCACCCTTTCATGTTAACAGAACTCCCTGATGGCTGTGACCATTTTCAACAGGATAATCTGTCCTGCCACAAAGCAAAAATGATCCAGGAACGGTTTGAGGAGCACAACAACGAGTTTGAGGTGTTGACTTGGCCTCCAAATTCCTTAGATGTCAATCCAATCGGGCATCTGTGGGATGTGCTGGACAAACAAGTCCATGGGGGCCTCAAATCACTTTTTACAGGACTTGCGAGATCTGTTGCTAACACAGCTACAGGGTCTAGTGGAGGCCCTGCCTTGATGGGTCAGGACTGTTTTGGCATCAAAAGGAGAATATTAGGCAGGCGGTCATAATGTTATACCTAAATAGTGGAAGTTGTCAAAATAGGGACAATACACCACACTGATTTAAAAAAAACTGTCATAGAAGACTAAGAAAGCAATCTCAGCACCAATATTCATTTTCATTACTTAAGAAGCAGCTCCCTTGTTGGACATGAAGGCAAGAGCAGTGGATGAAATGATGGAGAGAATAAAGAAAGGCATCATCCTGAGACCTATGAAGAGAATACAGGTAGAAAAATCGCACTGTGAATTGACATTTGATATATGAGTGTTTTCCAAAGAAACTGATAAAAAAGCATAGCCTGCAGAAATAAATATAAACTCTGTCTCATAACCATCTAACTTCTTCTCACAGGAGGACGACAGTTCCTGGAAGGTCAGTTATCCCGCCGTTCTTCATTTTCTGTTATAACACAGCTGTGATCTGTGTCAGTGACAGATATTTGTTTTTTTGCAATCCACGCTTTTCTTACAGGACCAGAAAAGTGACAACAGAAAGTCAGCCATCCTGGAGTTGAAAGGAATGCTGGTAATAACTATAAAATCAAATTTCACTGTGGGCTGAAAGTCACATCTGTGTTGCAAAAGAAAAAAAAAACCCTTACAGCCGTGAGCGATGCATGGCAGCTTGATCTGCTGTGTTTGATCCATCTTTAACTATTTAATACATCAGGACAACATGAAGCGTCAGCACCTCCGCAGAGTGCCATCCAGGAGGGGAACTGGCCGAAATGTGGGCGAAGCAGAGCTCCTGATGGTGCTCCAGAGGAGGAGGAGAGCAATGGGAGACAATCAGGAACCACCACCCTCAAATCAACCACAGGGTACGCTGACAAGCATGGTGTTTTCTTAACCATATACTATACAGTACCTTCACAGTGTGACGCTGGCTAATTATAAATGGCCTGTCTGCCATTAATACATGAATGATTCATGCTTAATTAAGGCTTCAAAGACCAGAGAGTGATTTTACAACACTTGTTTTTGGAAAAAAAGCATCTATTATCACACAATATCCGATTTTGTTCTATCTAAAACATGAAAACATAGCTGCCAAAACGAATGCTGGGTTTTGTGCATGTGTTCCCACACTCAGCAAAATGACAGCTCAGGTGCCTTTATAATCTTATGACCTTCTAGAACTCTTTAATCAGCTTAAATTACAATGAGATCACAATAAATTGATTCTAATTTGTTTATTAGATTGTTTTCTTACATTATTTGTGCTTTCAGGTGCAAGGCACGAGCACAAACAGATGAATACACTTTTTTAGCCTTACCGAACACTCAAAGGTCTTTTAACTACAAGTCACACTTTAACTGTGTGCACTTGAGGCTCTTTATTTACCTCACATCCGTGACCAATTTAGATCGCCATTTAACCCAACAAGTCTTTGGAGTGTGTGAGGAAGCCTTAGTCTCCAGAGAAAACCTGCTTCAATGGGTTTAACATGCAAGCTCCACACAGAAAAGCCCGACCAAGGATAAACACACCAGTCTTCTTGCTGTGAGGCGACAGTGCTAACCACTCCACCACCATGCCACCAGTTCTGATTGTATGTCTGCTCCAAGGCACTGTCTCTCAAGGCACCCTCTGACTTCTGTGTGTCCTCTGTTGCTTATGTGCACCACATATAATTTCTATGCCAGGTATTTCAAACATAAGGTTGGGGGAACCAGAGTCTCCAATCTGGATTTTGTTCAAATATTTGTCATATATTAAAATGGGGCGCATTAACCTGAACTATAAGGGTTAAGTGGATCGGTCTTACTGTTGTTCTTTGTTAATTGTGTCTATTGTATATAAATATGATGCATTTGTTTCCCTGCTCAAAGAGGCCAGTTTAATTTGCCTTCCATATGTCCCACTCTGATATCTCATAAATGCTGTCAGATTGGGCACAAACATTCACTTTGACTCAAAGATGAGTGGAACTTGGTGGTGGAAGGTCAGCGTTACTCTGACCTCACAAAACAGCTTTGGACTTTACATGGAGACTTCATTTACCAACTAGACACAATTTCACAGAAATGTCTGATAGTGTAGAACGATGAAGATGTTACCATTTATATCAACCTGCTCTCATCTCAAGACATCGGATCCTGCCGTTTTGTCTGAAGCTGATGATGTCAGAGAAATGCAGTGGGTTCTGTTTGATAGGTCAAGACCTGCGAGGAAGTAGGAGTGACAGTGTTGCAGATCATCAGTGAGCCATTTCTTACCATCTGTTTAGGTTTGCTTTGACTTGCTGTTTATCTTAGCGTTGGAAATATACCCATTAAATCATAAACCCTGCACAGTGAAAAATAATGCATGTGTGTGTTCAATGCACATCAAAAATAACACACCCACTGCATTTAAATGTTTAATAAAGAAGGGTTTCTGTGCATAAATGACAAGCTGGGAGTGACATTTGTCTCCTGATTGCTGTGGGTGGCGTCTTGGCACCAAGACCTAAGGACACCTTTGCGCTTGTCTCCATGTCGCTAGCGGCTTGTGACAAAACTAAAAAGGTCAAAAGTCAACTTCACTGTGGCTACATTTCACATGTGGTAGGGTACTGAATAGGTGACGCTGATTGGTTGTAAAGATCTTCTGTGCTGCTGGGTTGAAGACGTATGCGAGCCAGCCCTTCTGTAGTATTGATGGCTCTCATGATTATAACTTAGTCGTCCAAAAATAAATGCACGTGACACGTTTCATTAAACTCAAAGTGTTCGTGCAAATACCACATGAGTCTAGGGCAGATGTGAGTGGTCGGTGGCTTACAACCAGGAGGTTAGTTACAAATGCAAAGTGCCTACCAGGATGTAACCAGGACATATGCTTTTAGATGTTTTTCATTAGTTTAAAAAAAAGAGAGAAATTCTAGATGCCAGCTTTTAGTATTTGTTTGCATTAATACTTCTAATGATCTTCATCCACTTATTTTTAAAAAAGGCAAGAAGTTATGCAAATTCACTGTTAAAAGGGAAAGATACAGACACAAAAGGGAGAAATAACTGGCTCCCTTTCAGGCCGAGAGCCATTTCGCTCCCTCTGACTTACCTATATTTCCTAATCAGAGAAAACCTCTTTATTCTCTACCTGCTTTCAGTTGTTTTAGCCCACCCTTTAGCTCCCATTTTCAGACTCGTGCCTAAAATGAATATGCGGTGATCTCTGTGCAGATGTCCAACCAGGTTTGCCGTGTGTTCCAGTGGCAGGTGACGCTCCCTGGGCAGGTGAGAGCGGCAGCGCCCCTGTGCTCCGGAGGCTGAAGCAGAACCGAGAGAAGAGAGACTCTCGCATCAGAGCATCAGCACTGTTCATCAGTCACCAAGCCTGACAGCTGTGAGAGGAGGACATGCTGGTTGCTATTATTATTATTATTATTATTATTATTATTGTTATTATGATACTGCAGGTTTATATGACAATAGACCAAAGATGATTGAGCAAACTACGCATGTTTGACTTTAAAAGAATCCATTTTATCTTTACATCTTTCAGTATTTAAATGCACTGCCTCCTTGATGTCTTACAACAAACCAGCACTGCCTGACTTGCCTTGAAAATTTTAAATAAAAACTTTAGCTGTCAGCTCTCTATCCGACAGCAGTTGCTTGTGTTTGTTTTATTTTCTTGAGGGAATCCGAGGGTCAGGATTATATCGTAAACGAACATTAAATCTTGCATTTCCAGCTACAGAAAAACAAAGAAAAGCATTTTTCAAATGCCGTTTAACCCAGGTCTATAAAAACCTTGTTGCGTGTCAAAGGAAATGGCACTCTTTCAGCCGTATTTAATAGTCAGCATCATCCCTTTCAGAAACTGGGATTTCAGCTGATCTAAGTGCAGAAAATAGATGGAAAATAGCCCGAGCCATTAAAGAAAACACTTGCGTGAATGTGATTGCCCGCTCCTCTCCCAAGGTGTCTGTCTCTTAAAGCTCGATCCAGCAGAAGAATAGTGGCTGCCATTCATTTGGACACATTAAAGCTGTCGCACCAAGAGCCCAGAGGTGCTGCTGAGATAAGAGCCTCGGGTGATCTGTGTGTGTCCCCCCTGAAAGTTTCTTTAAAATGTAGCAGGCTGCCTTTTGTTTTCTCACCTCCACACAGGTCCTGCATATATATGTGCGCATGCATGCATACATGAATGAATCCATGCATCTTCACACTGTGCTACCTGCCTCCCTGTCTATCTGCGTTTGTTAAAAGCGTTTGAAAAGAGGATGAAATTACTCCCACCTTTGACTTTGACACCATTTTACTGTCTTCACACTGTTTCACATTATATATTTACTTTATTTAGCTCTGTACCAGAAGGTCTGCCTTTTCACTCTTAATCATGCATTTTTTATTGGTTTATATCTCAGTCTCAGAAGTGTCAGGCTTTGAGACATAGTGTGTACTCGCGTCTTTCTAGCTGTTGAATCCATGCACACAAAAGCTCGTGTCTAAGTGCGAGAGAAAGAAACGAAGCCCTCTGAAAAGGATCCTATAGATACAGATGATATTAAAGATGTGTCATTGACTCACACTGAGGTGAGATTCAAATAATGTAAATTAATTTTCCTCTTAATGTGTTTTTCTTTAACTATAAATGCGTGCTGATTTCCTTGCAATGAGCTCTAATCGTGGCTGCTATTAAACCCACTTCTAAGTCTACGTATCCTGAATCAAATTTAACTGAGCCAGTGGCCCATTCTTCAGAAACGAACACAGAGATCTGGTCTTCTTGGTTAAAACTAATTTTTGTATTCATCAGCTTCCTACAGGGGAGGCTGAAAAACTGCTTTAAGCTGCAGAATAAAATAATTACACAGATATTGTTAATCTAAAGTATATACAATGTGGCTACTTGGGGACCAAGAGAAACGAGGTTTGACGTCCTACTGCTGCTGATGTCTGTGGTTTGTATATTTAATTAACGGTGGAAATACTTAGAGCACACATTTTCCTCACTTTTTCTTACAGATTTCCCGCCATCATGAGCTATAGTGGGAAATATTTTGACTTCATAAGGATATATTTGGTCTTACAGCTGTGGAAGCCTGAAACTGCCATAATTAAACACGAATAAATAAAAAACTAAATAAAGAAGTAAAGAATACCCATTAAATAAATCTGCTTCTATTAAAAGCCTCAAAAATATAAAAATGACAAAATCTACGTTTTAAATAAATTAATACAAGTGAAAATCAAATGTTAATGTCACTAAGAGGTGAATTAATGCTAACACGTGGTTGCTGGTCTGCAGAATGACCAACAATCATGCACACTCACACCTACTCTTAATTTAGAATCACCAGTTGACATGAGATGCATGTCTGTGGACTGTGGGAGGAAGCCCATGCAGCCCATACAGAGCGTCCAACCCCGACACAGCTGGCTGGCAGGTTTGAACCACTGTACGCTCGTGCTGTGAGGCTGTAGTGCTAACCACTGCACTACTGTAACTGCTTTAATATAAACATTCATATCACATTTTTGGCGCATTTAATGGCATGTTTGTTTGTTTTTGACCATGCCAGTACAATTTATCACGATTTTGACCTTTATTAAATAGTAGATGTAGTAATTGTTATTTAGAAAGAAATACTTTTTGACTTGATTTCTTAAAGATTGACTTGAACATTTTTACAAAAATTTTGACTTACTGTATTTTCTTTCACATTTCTAAATTTTTGTGTATTTTTGTGGTTGGCACAAATAGATTTACATGGTGAAATTTAACATATTATCATTAAAATATCTTTGGACATTTGGAGAGGGTGTACCCCCCGTCCCACAAACAGACACACAGAGGCACCACCCTTTATATTTTTTTATTATTAACTCAAAAAACATTATTCCTCTCGCGTTGCATTACTCCTCCCACCACAGGTGGGGCTGTAACTAAACAAGTCAGTCCTTCCGGGCTCTGAGGCCTGGCTTTACGACTCTCCTCAGCTCGTACTGAAACACCAGGGGGAGGAACTTTGACCAGCGCTAGTTAGCTACCAGCTAGCTGCTCTCTCTATTATTTTCTTATTTTGTGTGCTGTTGCATATGCAGAGCAATGTGGTTTATTTATTTACTGAGCTGGCTGTCGCTGCTCATCCAGATATCCTTCGTCACGTTAGCAATAGGTAAGTGCTTGCTGAAATCCCCCTGCAGCTGTTAGCCTAGGTAGCTCATATTTGCCTGCCAATGCTAGCGGATCAAGTCAGCAGATTAAGGTGCGCTAGCGAGTGATAACTGAGCTCCGCTTTGCCAACAGCTATCGACTCAAAACGCAGTAATAAAATATGCATGTAAGCCGTGTTAGTGAACGAAGCAGAGTCCTGAAAGCTACCTACTGGCGTCTGGGCTAGTTAGCTTTAAAGGACAGGAAGTTAAGAGGAAGAGAATTGATTGAAAAAAAGATATTAGATATTTTGTAATGACTACCTTTAAATGTTAACAGACAATCTTTATTAGGTAAATGTTCAAATTTTCTTTTTTTTGGGGGGGGGGGGGTGCAGTAGAATCACTTTCTCTTTGTCTTTAACTCCTAATCGATACTAACTGATCAGCCGATTCAGCAGCACAGAGTTCGGCCTCTTTTTGTAATCTGGTGTGAAGACCGACTCCAACTGCAGGATTCATGCTAATCTAACGTGAAGGCTTTAAATTACGCTCATGTATTTCTGTTTACATCAGAGAGGAGGATGTTAGCGCAGGAGAGGAGCAGCCTACATGTACGAAACTTTTAATGAAGGCTTGGCCCAAAGCCAGAGGTCCGTCCACGTAGACTTACCTGGCCACGTAACACCTACTGCATGACACGCTCAGTCATGTGACCTGACCTGTCAGCAGATGAGAAAATAAAACGGCAAATATTAATGACGTATATTGTTTTCATTTTCAATGAGACAACTCGTGACATGAGTTGTCTCATTGTGTCCTCATTTTTTTATAGATCAAGGCCAGCGTACGCCAAGCTTAGCTGTTCATTAAGTGTTCATTCGTCTTAGAATTATTTGTTTTAATATTTTTGGACATGCAACAGTGTTTGTTATTACTGTTTAAGGACTATAGTTTGAGTAAGTTTAATTGTGTGTGCAAGCTGCAAACACATGGCCTTCAACACACAAAGCCATTACTCATAACTCAGATGCTTATTCTGATTAATAACGCATAACTTCTTTTAAAAAAATCATACTTTAGCTAATAGTGGTTATAGAAAGCTGTTATATTTAGTGAAAGAAGTACAGACATGTTTTATGTCTTGGCTTCTCCCTCACAGGTAGTATCCAGTTCACACATATTGACGAGTCTGATCAATTTACTGTCTGTTTGGCCTTCCTTCCACATGAGCTCAGTAACTGTGGGTCGTGTCAGCGTTGCTCAAATGAACCTACATTATTTGGTCCGTCTTTGTTGCTCTGCCACGGCTGTTCACAGGAGCTAGGTATTGAATGTCGATAAAGCCTTTGCAACAAATCTTGAAAAATGTCACATACTCAGTTTGCCTTCAGTAAATTTTAGCTGCTCAGGTGTTGAATCCTTTCTCCTCGTGGCTCCAAAACCTAAACTGTACCACCTGCTTTCCCTAAATTTGTATGTAAATGTTTTCTTTCTTTCTTTTTTTAAGCAGAATGATTTGCAGCAAAAGCGACAGAACAAATTTAGCAGTCTATAAAAACAAAAAAACAAAAACAACCCTAAAAGTAACGGTGTCTTACTCCCCCCAAGTCTTCTTCTTTGGTTGCTCATTACCTTTCATTTTCTCTCAGCTGCTGGCCTCTACTACCTGGCTGAACTAATAGAAGAGTACACAGTAGCCACCAGCCGAATAATAAAGTACATGATACTGGTGAGTATTTGGGTGTGACTTAATGATGAGATTGTCTTTAGGTACTTGTTTTAATGATGTGCTGTACATGCAGGTCAACAGTGGTTTTTACGATTTCTGTGGATGTGTCCAGTTCTCTACAGGGGTGCTGGTATGCCTCTATATGTTCGAAGGCTTTCCAATGTTGATGGTGGGAGTCGGTCTCTTCACAAACCTGGTTTATTTCGGACTCCTGCAGACCTTCCCTTACATACTTCTGAGCTCCCCAAACTTCATCCTCTCCTGTGGTAAGTGTAGCACACATTTGCCTTGAATTATTTGGTAAAACTAAGCAAATACAATCTGAGAAGGGGGGGAAAGTTAACAAATCAATAAGGATGCTATCTGCTATTAACACTGATCAGCCTGAACTGCTTTAACTGTGTTTTATTGATCATATCATTACCAACCAATATTACACTGGAAAGCCTTGAGTTCTGGTAGTGGCCTCCACTGGCAGGATAATGTGCTTCACTGCACAGCAAACAAAACAAACAGCCTGAGGTTTTGTTCACAGGGTTGCACTATAAAGCCAGATTAATGGCTTGGTGAGCTGTGTCAAGCTTAAAGAAAAGGTTTTTTGTGTCAGAAAAGCGGCTCTCTTTTTCTTGGTTAAATCACCATGGTAACTCATGCGAAATACTGATTCTTGGTTGGAGCAAAATCATGTTCAATTTCAGATTTAAAAATCACCTGGAAGCGCCGCATTTTTACGGTTTCTTTAATTTAGAGCTTGTTTTAAGTGCAT